CATATCTTTTATGCCCACATCCGACTAATTTTATTGATAGGAAAATATTTTTTAAGTTTTAAACGATATTTTTTTTAGCGTATATCCGGAAATTACAGAACCAGCAAAGGACAAAAAAAAACCGTACCAGAACAGGACAAGAGTTCACATTTACATAATTCTCTTCAGAGGGAAGAGGATTTATGTGTGGCACTTGAGTGCCGCAAATTAATTCAAATGAAATGCGTCCAGAACTTAATCCTGAAGTCCATTGTTGTCCTGGATGCCAGTCCACTCCCCTTTTTGGACGACTAATTTGGTGCAATTGCGACACCTAGGAATCGCTCTTCTTTCTTTGATTTGCGCTAATCGCAAAAGTGTCAGCGACCAGGAGAACTTTATGTTTGCCTCATTTCCGCATTTAATCACCCCTGGAAAGGAATCGTCCTGGGTCCTTTTGTTCGATGGATGAGAGACCCAGATTCCGAGATGACAGAAATCAGAGCAAAACTAATTTCCCGTTAATGAGGGTCGCTTGCCCTGTTGCGTTGGCTCGCATTTTCCTCATTTTCTTGGGTCCATTTTTTGCCCTGATTAAGAATTTTTCCCACTCACACACATGCACCTCATTAATAATTTTTTCGCCACTCGCTGCCAGGATCGAGATTAATTTACGCCCCGAAAGGATCTGACGTGTGCCTGTCAGTCGGAAATGTCTCTTTTTTTCGGCCCAGCGCCTTCTTTTATCTTCGTAATAATGTTAGGCTGTGGATGGGGAAGTCCTGATTCCTTATTCCTTATTTCCAGGGGAGGAGCTGCTGAGGCGTCAAATTGTTATTAATTGAAAGTCAAAAGTTCTGCGTGCGGTGCCAGTTTTAATTGGATTGTTCGCTTATCTGTGCGAGAATTAATTAATGAGAAATGAAAGGAAATTTATTCAATACAATGCGGTTAGTCATTTCCTTAAGAGTTCGAAACTTATTTCCTGAATTGGTAGTAGAAATAGACAAAGAAAATACAATATTTTAAAAGCCTTTGCTTAATTTGATGATTTAGATAACTTAAAGATTTGATTGTTTCTTTTATTTGCAAACTGAATGAATCTGATGCATCTCATCACAAATAAATGTATTTAAACTTTATATTCGATATTATTAGAAAGCCCTTTACGCAGTTTAGGCGTTTAACATTTTATATGATTTTTATTGTCAATCAGCTTGTAAAAGTTCATTACCAACATTGTTACTTTTATATGCATGTTAAATTGATCGTTTTATTGGTTTCATTTACAACAATTGTTCTATCCAACATCCCTTCTTAAAGCATTTTTATTCGTCACAGTTTCCTTTTCTACCTCACATTCATACTTGAAGTTTTTTATGAATTGAGATTTCACTTTTTAGTGTTTTTTCCGCCTGCCATTGGTATTCTTATTAAAAAATCCAGTGCCCATGAGGTCATCCAGCGGTGACGCAATCAATTGTGTACCCAACACCTCCCCATAGTCATTCATATTCATATTTATAAATGGAATGCTTGGCACTGTGTCCTATCTATCCTCACGCGATCTGATCTGAAGGGATCTCATTGGGAGGCACTCGCCTGGAAGCTGACAACAATTGAATTGGTTTTATTGCCCCGGGAAAGTTATGCGCTGACAGGACTTCGGTTCAATGGATGGCCATATTGCTGAATTCAGGATACACACAATAAAAAATGCCTATATGCCAAACAATTTCATTTCGTTTGTCCTGAAAAGGCACCCAAAAGCGTTTCCATTGTTAGTCTGTTTATTAAATTGTTGGTTCGAAAGGGGTGAGTTGGCCAAAAAGAGGGGATCACAACCCGGAGTCCACCTTTGTTAATCGTCAAGCTGACAATAAATCTTGGCCATGCCAGGGAATACCAATTGCGTATGAGATGTAATTCCCGACTTGACATTTTCCATATACAATTCAGATACTCACTCGCACATTTATTTGCGCCATAGACAAAGATACGGAGTGAAGAGCAAGGGTTCGGGGAAAATATTTCATAAATTGAATTGTTTTGCATTGTTGTCCCTCAACGAGTTCTGCTCTTATTTCGAATTGCTTGGCAAAACCAAATAAAAAAGCATCCAACATGAGCTCTCGAGCGTGGCCATGTGTGCTCATATATGTGCTTGTGTATCTTTGTGATTTATAACGCGTTTAGAATGCCGACTGAGCAATGGAAATGGAATCAAAGCGACATCGAGTCTGGCAACCGTCTGAATCGATGACGAAAAGTATTTAACAAAGTCTGGGACAATTTTAAGATATTTAAAAGAAAATATTTAAGCTGGGAAAAATAATTTAATTTAAATAAGTCCTTGAAATGCAATTATAAAATTAGATTTATAAGTTGATTAATAATAAAATAAGTCCATGATATACAAGACAACCACTCTTTTACTTAACAACCAATTGGATTAAAGATTTCAGTGTGTTTTTCAAGAAGTATTCTGACATCGTTAGCTGTCTGGCAAGTAATATAAAATTATACCTCAGACAGATTATGACATTTTAAATATGATAAATTGTTGCACAGAGCTCTCAAATGAAAATTTTGAGAAGCTAGTGAAACCACAATCTACTTTTTAGAATGGGTAAGAGGGCGGATAAGTCCCATTCCACTTTGGACTGCATTTGACACTCGGATGGCCACCCAGTTAACGCTTTAAAAGCCGAATTGAATTTAAATTTGCTGATTATGCTCGAGTTGTGCGAATAATGGTTATATTGAGCCATAAAAGAAATTAAGTCAAACATTATTCTTGGCTGAGCACTCGAGCCACCCCGCCTTGCCCATCTGTGTGTAATATATTTTAAAACAACTTTCACCACCTTTGAACTTGGTGGGCAAATATTATTGATACATCGGCGGCTTCTCAATGGCTTGTAAACGATTTCTGGAGAGTTTTCCAGTACCAGGAGGGGGTTTTCAAGGGGGAAACCTAGCAGGGGGCCACATACTTATTCCGCTTATTCCAGAGCTACAACGCATATTACACTTTTTAGCAACAGATTCTCGAGTGTTGTTCGAGGGGCTTAGGCATGATTTTCCCTGGGATTTGCTTTATGAAATTTTCAAATTTTACAATCTGCGCAACGGGAGGGCCGATGAGGAAATCACACCGCGTCTTCTTTTTTATGTAATTTCAAAATGATTATTACTGCGAGGGGGTGGCGAAGGGAGAGTGCGGAAATCAATGCATAAATTACAAAATACAGCCGGCAGACAAAAGCTGATCTTTATTGTTATTCAAATCATTTGGCAGCTGCCACAGCTCCATCGCCATCGTCATTTGAAGTTGGATTTCTGAGGCGCCGCGGAACGATAATGATTGACTGACAGACAATCCTGTTCTAATCTGTCAATAATTCAGACCATGTGCTCTGGCTTTTAGCGCTTTTTAGCCCGAGGCGTCGAATCCCGCGATTTGCCTACCAAGCTGTCGATTTCCCAGGCGAGTTGGCCTAATCCGATGGAGATGCCGTGTAATTAGGTCGCGGCTCCCGGGCGACATCGGAAGTGCCTTTAAAATTGATTCGGATGCGGTTTTGAATTCGAACTTTAGGCTGTTACAATGGAAACAAGAAAGGAAAGCTAACTTCGGGCGGAGCCGAAGTTGATATACCCTTGCAGAATATTCTATAAATTATATTCTCCAAAATTATTCATATGATGCATTCTTAATACTCATAAAAAGTCCCAACTTCCCAACTTTAAAAACACCAAAGTTATGTCATTTCCAATCGTTCAGTTATATGGCAGCTATAAGATATAGTCGGCCGATCCTTATGAAATTTGGTAGGTCGGATTCATTGGTCAAAAATAAAACCCATAGAAAATCCCAACTTCCTAACTTAAAAAACACCAAAGTTATGGCATTTCCGATCGTTCAGTTATATGGCAGCTATATGATATAGTGGCCCGATCCGGCTCGTTCCAACTTATATATACCTGCAATAGAAAGACAACTTTTGGGAAAGTTTCAAGCAGATAGCTTTAAAACTGAGGGACTAGTTTGCGTAGAAACGGACGGACAGACGGACAGACGGACAGACGGACGGACAGACGGACGGACAGACGGACATGGCTATATCAACTCAGGAGGTGATCCTGATCAAGAATATATATACTTTATAGGGTCGGAAATGTCTCCTTCACTGCGTTGCAAACTTTTGACTGAAATTATAATACCCTCTGCAAGGGTATAAAAAGAACATCCATAAGATTCATGAAAAATATTGAACACATCATTCTTATTACATAAAAATAATTCTTTATTTTGAGTTAAAGATAAGTTATTAAAATGAATTATCAAAATTAATTATCAAAAAGCAAAGGGAAAATTATTTTAAGCTACCACAAACATTGCTGTAAAGCTATCATTTTGCTGTAATTTGAGCTGAATAACTAATATGTGTTTAATCACTAACGAAAAACTCATTAATTTGGAATTACTTTTTTTTTTAAACACTCATGTGATGCCCGAGAGAATATTCCAATTTCATTACCCCCACTCTCATTGTTTTCCTTTCGCGAAACTTCTGTAATCACTTCCACAAGGAGCTCCGATAATTTAATGTAAACTTTGCGGTCACGTGGCGCGACCTCCGCTCATGTAAGTAAATCAAAGCAAATTACCAGCCGAACACACAAAATACAAAACACAACATACAACACACAACACACATGGGCCAAGGGCAACTCTCACCCATTTCAACTTTAACCCAAAACTCCGCCCCCCGAAAAAGGTTCACAAGTGTTTTGACATTTAGAAGCATTTTGTGCTCGAAATGACCACCAACAAGAGGTGGACCCAGAGCACAAGGTTGCTGGCCCAAGGGAGCCCTTACACTTGTGCGCTGATCCCGGGAATCTCCGGGAAAACTGTGGGAAAACAGGGCAAGCCCAGCCACCCTGGGAAAGTGTAATCAACCTCGCGGCACCCATAAAAAACCCATAGACATAGACACATATGCACATGTAAATTGCGGGGATGTAAACTAGTTTATTTCTAGGTGATTGTAAATAAATAAGTGTTTATAATTAAGCAGGTTATCCTGGGAGAATCCTTTGATGGACATCAAATTCTCATCCTCGAGCGGTGGCTGCCACATTGGCGGCTTGTTGCGCAATTCCCAGACCTTGGATGGTGGCATCCCGGGTGTGCTGGCCAATGCGTTCCTATAAAGACAATTATTAGATACGTTTTAATATAAATATTTAAATAAATTCATTTTTAAATTGCAATGTATAAAATGAAATATTTGATTTTTTTAAATATTTTTCTAAGGCAATACTTACAATTCTCTTGCCCAGTTTCTTCAGCCAACCGGCTTCGGATTGCCCAAAGCTAATGGCCAAAATGAGAGCCACAAAGACGAAGATCTTGTAGAAGTTCATAATTAAATTACTGGATTTTATTCCTTGGTTTAAAGTAAAGCGAATTAGCTGTTGATATAGCTGTTGCTGTGGGAACTGAGCGACTGATGACTGGACTTCAGGTGTAGCCAGCTTTTATAGCGAAGACAGCGATGCTGATAATTTGAGGACGGGGAACTTTTTCGCTACGAAAAGAGAAAGAGCAGCAAATACGCGACTGCAGTGGATCCCCTTTTTTATAACAGGAAAACTCTCTATCTGTTTGCCCAGCTGCTAATAAAAATTGAGCTCCCCCAGATTATTTAAAGTCTTATTTTAAATTATTTTATCAAATGTGCTAACAGCATTTTTTTTAGAATATATTGGTCTTTCTTATTGAAATTCAAAAGTACATATATCATAGAGTCTAAGTCTTTGTCTCCAGATTTTTAATGAATTTTGCACAGACCTTCTTATTAAGCCATTACAATATTCGAATTTTAAATATTAAATGTTATGCTTTTACTTTTAAATTGTAATAGTAACTAATATTAAATATATAAACTTAAATGTATATATGTGTGTGTTATCACTTAAGCAGCCTACAAATCTCAATTTAGAAACGCTAGATTAGTACACCATAAACATAAACACACTCACGCAACTGTACATGATTTTTAAGAGGGGATGGCCCTGTTTGTAGGCTTTCACTCTCATCAGCACATAATACCAACCACCACGAAAATGTAACTTTAATTTCAACCATAAAAAACCAACAACGAGGGGCAGACAATAGACATAGACTCGCAGCAAAGACAACAAGCGAATTAAATCAGCAAGGGAGGCAAAAACACACACAATCAGGGGTGGGGATATATCCATAGATAGATATTTTGGGTGGAGAGGTGACTAAGAATAGAGCATCTAGAATAGGAAGCTACGAGGATGATGGGCGCCCTGTCAGGATATGCCACTAATTTCCTTAACAAGTAAAAACGCTTTATCCAACTTGGGCCTTGACTCCGCTTCCCTTTGGAACTCCATGTTGCTCCTTTCCGGTTCTATAGCCTCTGCGAAATGTAAATAAAATCGCTCGAATTAACCGCTGAGTGACAGCTACAAGTGGCAGGCGGAGACACAAAAGGAGGGAGCGAGTCCTATGTCATAACCGCCAGGACTCGTCCGCATCCTCATCATCATCCTCATCCTCCGTCTCATCCAGTTGGTAATGCCCACAGCAGCGTAAGTAAGTCAGTAAATGCCGCAACTGGTTCCAAAGGATAGCTCAACTACTCAGACTGGAGGGAGGTATTCAGATGACTTAAATGAAATTAAGGTAAGTTAAAAAGGAAGTATGTTTCCATTAGATACGGAATAAAGTGTGTAGTGGGAGATGCATTCAAACAGTTTATTCTATAAAGATAGTTTTCAAGAAGTGCTCTGCAAAAATGTATATTTATTACTGCCTTAGGTCATGTGATTATGTGATTAATATACATTTTAAATATAGATTATGGGAATAACTAAAAGAGTTCATTCATATAGGATGACTATAGACAACGCCTGATAACCCATTCATTATTAAAACTGCTGTTTAAAATCATACTTTAAATACCCTATTCCAGGGGACAACCGGACTAATCAAAATGACTCAGGCTGTTTTTAAATGACCTTTTCAGCAGGCATCCCCGGCACATAAATTCCCATCACAGTTCGCGAAGTTTATCAGTCCACTTGGAGACAATGGCTGAGCAAATGTTTGACCATCTTGGCCTTGCCTCTTCGATAGGGAAATAATCAGCAGATGCCGTCGGGGGAACTTTTTTCCTGGGAATCACCGGGAGAAAGACAGCGGATCTAAAATTGATAAACGAGAGGCGCTGATAAGGAACAGCGTACTACAGAACAATGACAAAATAGTCAGAAGAAAGGGAACGAATAAGCAAAACAGGTGTGCCCCTTACCCTCGATCTTGATCGATCACTTGAATCATAATATAAACACGTCATCGGATCTACTTGGGTGTGGGTTTCCACTGAGCACTGAGTTCTCTGTGCTTTTTGAAAGGAACAGAAATCACCGTGGAGCAATTCCATTCATAAAACTCATTCGTAGTAAAGACTGTGTTACCCCTTATAGTACTTAGGGTATATTTTATTGCAGTTCGGTTGAAAATAATATTTAGAAAAGGCTTTACAATCAGTTAATTAAGCAATGATTAGACCAGGGACTTTACCTGCAGGAAATATTCATCTAAAACCCATTCGTTATCTTAAAGTCTGTACCATCTGTTGACTAACATTTCTCTAAGTCATTAATTAAGTCTAGTTCGAGGTATCGCGAATGTGTCAGTAGATCGTTCCAACTCAATTCTACGATCGTTCAACCCATTGAGTAATCGTCGTTGTTGTTTTGCTTTTTTAAGTTCAGTTGTGGGGAAGCCAATAAAACGTGTTTGTTGATTAATCCATTTCGCTTGCCGCTCGAATGTTTGGCGTTATTTCCCGTACTTTTTCTGTCCCAAAGTTCTTTTGTTTTTTTCAATTCTTTTGCTACCACAACTAATGGAATTTATTATGTTTTGAGTGCATAATAAAGGGATTATTCATGTGGATTGTGGTAAAGACAATTCAAAACGATGTTGATTACGGGGATTTCTTAGAATCAGGAAATAGCATAGTTTATAAAGTGGCTATGCAGGGAGATTACACACACTATGAATAAAGCACAAACTTAAGAGGGAACATTCCTGAACAAAAAAGTGATAAGCATCTGTAAAATTATGTCAGCTGATATTTGGTAAAGTTATGGACTGTAGAAGTCCAAGGTTCACCTTTTTACAAGACATCGGAAACTTAGAAATAAGTAACATGAAAATTCAGATTTTTAGTGGATCAACCCAGAAGTCTTTAGAGGTATGTCACTTTGAGATCAAATTAAATTTGGTAAAGTTATGGAACGTAGAAGTCCAATTGAGGGTCACCTTTTTACAAGACATCGGAAACTTAGAAATAACTAACATAAAAAAAAAATTTTGATCAACGTTAAAGTGAAAATTTTGAATGCAGATTTTTAGATAATCAACTCAGAAGTCTTTAGAAGTATGCCACTTTGAGATCGGATTAAATTTGGTAAAGTTATGGACTGTAGAAGTCCAAATGTGGGTAACCTTTTTACAAAACATCGGAAACTTAGAAATAACTAACATGAAAATGGGTCAAAATTTTGATCAACGTTAAAGTGAAAATTTTGAATGCAGATTTTTAGAGAATCAACCCAGAAGTCTTTAGAGGTATGCCACTTTGAAATCGGATTAAATTTGGTAAAGTTATGGACTGTAGAATTCCAAATGTGGGTAACCTTTTTACAAGACATCGGAAACTTAGAAATAACTAACATGAAAATGGGTCAAAATTTTGATCAACGTTAAAGTGAAAATTTTGAATGCAGATTTTTAGAGAATCAACCCAGAAGTCTTTAGAGGTATGCCACTTTGAGATCGGATTAAATTTGGTAAAGTTATGGACTGTTGAAGTCCAAATGTGGGTAACCTTTTTACAAAACATCGGAAACTTAGAAATAACTAACATGAAAATGGGTCAAAATTTTGATCAACGTTAAAGTGAAAATTTTGAATACAGATTTTTAGAGAATAAATCCAGAATTCTTTAGAGGTATGCCACTTTGAGATCGGATTAAATTTGGTAAAGTTATGGACTGTTGAAGTCCTAATGTGGGTAACCTTTTTACAAAACATCGGAAACTTAGAAATAACTAACATGAAAATGGGTCAAAATTTTGATCAACGTTAAAGTGAAAATTTTGAATGCAGATTTTTAGAGAATCAACCCAGAAGTCTTTAGAGGTATCCCACTTTGAGATCGGATTTAATTTGGTAAAGTTATGGACTGTAGAAGTCAAAATGTGGGTAACCTTTTTACAAGACATCGGAAACTTAGAAATAACTAACATGAAAATGGGTCAAAATTTTGATCAACGCTAAAATGAAAATTTTGAATGCAGATTTTTAGAGAATCAACCCAGAAGTCTTTAGAGGTATGCCACTTTGAGATCGGATTAAATTTGGTAAAGTTATGGACTGTAGAAGTCAAAATGTGGGTAACCTTTTTACAAAACATCGGAAACTTAGAAATAACTAACATGAAAATGGGTCAAAATTTTGATCAACGTTAAAGTGAAAATTTTGAATGCAGATTTTTAGAGAATCAACCCAGAAGTCTTTAGAGGTATGCCACTTTGAAATCGGATTAAATTTGGTAAAGTTATGGACTGTAGAATTCCAAATGTGGGTAACCTTTTTACAAAACATCGGAAACTTAGAAATAACTAACATGAAATTGGGTCAAAAAATTTGATCAACGTTAAAAGGAAAATTTTGAATGCAGATTTTTAGAGAATCAACCCAGAAGTCTTTAGAGGTATCCCACTTTGAGATCGGATTAAATTTGGTAAAGTTATGGACTGTAGAAGTCTAAATGTGGGTAACCTTTTTACAAAACATCGGAAACTTAGAAATAACTAACATGAAAATGGGTCAAAATTTTGATCAACGTTAAAGTGAAAATTTTGAATGCAGATTTTTAGAGAATCAACCCAGAAGTCTTTAGAGGTATCCCACTTTGAGATCGGATTAAATTTGGTAAAGTTATGGACTGTAGAAGTCTAAATGTGGGTAACCTTTTTACAAAACATCGGAAACTTAGAAATAACTAACATGAAAATGGGTCAAAATTTTGATCAACGTTAAAGTGAAAATTTTGAATGCAGATTTTTAGAGAATCAACCCAGAAGTCTTTAGAGGTATCCCACTTTGAGATCGGATTAAATTTGGTAAAGTTATGGACTGTAGAAGTCAAAATGTGGGTAACCTTTTTACAAGACATCGGAAACTTAGAAATAACTAACATGAAAATGGGTCAAAATTTTGATCAACGCTAAAATGAAAATTTTGAATGCAGATTTTTAGAGAATCAACCCAGAAGTCTTTAGAGGTATGCCACTTTGAGATCGGATTAAATTTGGTAAAGTTATGGACTGTAGAAGTCAAAATGTGGGTAACCTTTTTACAAAACATCGGAAACTTAGAAATAACTAACATGAAAATGGGTCAAAATTTTGATCAACGTTAAAGTGAAAATTTTGAATGCAGATTTTTAGAGAATCAACCCAGAAGTCTTTAGAGGTATGCCACTTTGAAATCGGATTAAATTTGGTAAAGTTATGGACTGTAGAATTCCAAATGTGGGTAACCTTTTTACAAAACATCGGAAACTTAGAAATAACTAACATGAAATTGGGTCAAAAATTTGATCAACGTTAAAAGGAAAATTTTGAATGCAGATTTTTAGAGAATCAACCCAGAAGTCTTTAGAGGTATCCCACTTTGAGATCGGATTAAATTTGGTAAAGTTATGGACTGTAGAAGTCTAAATGTGGGTAACCTTTTTACAAAACATCGGAAACTTAGAAATAACTAACATGAAAATGGGTCAAAATTTTGATCAACGTTAAAGTGAAAATTTTGAATGCAGATTTTTAGAGAATCAACCCAGAAGTCTTTAGAGGTATCCCACTTTGAGATCGGATTAAATTTGGTAAAGTTATGGACTGTAGAAGTCAAAATGTGGGTAACCTTTTTACAAGACATCGGAAACTTAGAAATAACTAACATGAAAATGGGTCAAAATTTTGATCAACGCTAAAATGAAAATTTTGAATGCAGATTTTTAGAGAATCAACCCAGAAGTCTTTAGAGGTATGCCACTTTGAGATCGGATTAAATTTGGTAAAGTTATGGTCTCTAGAAGTCCAATTGTAGAGCACCTTAAAGAGTTATTTCGCTTTGAAAGCTATAAACTCTGGTTGTCTTATTATAATAAAAATAGCGCAAGTTATTGACCCTGCTTATATTTCATTTTCAGTGGGAACTGAGTTACCGATAACCTCTCTTCAAAAATAGAAGCTTTATAGCTTCTATAGACAGCATCTCAAGCGATGGTGATAAGGCGACGAAGGGGATTTTGTCTGGGAAGAATATGCACGAAGAGTAATAAAAATTGGAGGCTTGTCTCTGGGGAATGGTCAGATGGGGAACTACACTACGTTCTTTTTAGATCCGACATTTGCAATCCGTCAAAAAAAATAAATAAAATATTAAAAAGCCTAGAAATGAGTAATAAACAATGAGGTAGTTCCAAGCATTTTATTAAGAACATAAAATTACATTGAAAGCAAATTTATAAAAAATACAAATTTTAGGATTCTTTTATTTAATATTAGTAATAAAATTATACTTTTAATTATTTTTTATTTTAATTACAAAATGTTTAATTTTAATTAACAAATATTCGTAAGTTCAACTTGAACTCAATCGGTGAATTTGAATTCTGAAATACCTCTTCGGAGAGTCATATTAATGGCAGTTCCGATCTGAATGCATCTTGTGAACTTTTGTCCCAGTGAAAAAATCCCCGTCTGTGCAGCGACATCTTCTGTGGGTATCGCTATATAAGCTCGATCTTCTCGATGTCCAATCATCAAACGCTCAGTTCTTACTGCAAAAGCATCAGCTTTCTTTTGATCTGCTAATTTGCCAACTATCTTACCATGAACTTTAACAAGATCTTCGTCTTCGTCGCCCTCATTCTGGCCATCAGTTTCGGAAATTCGGAGGCCAACTGGCTTAAGAAGTTGGGAAAGAGAATTGTAAGAGTACCTATTATTAATTTGCACTGCCAATATTAATTCAGTTATATTTATAGGAACGCATTGGCCAAAATACTAGAGATGCCACCATCCAGGTCATCGGAATCGCCCAACAAGCCGCCAATGTGGCAGCCACAGCTCGAGGTTGAAACAAAAAACCCTTGATAATACTCAACCCGCTACATAACCTGCCTGATAATTATAATCATTTTATGTCATTTACCCTAAGCCATTTAAATTAAAAAAAAAACAAAAATAAATTTGGTATGTCAATGTAAAGCAAACCATATATTTTTCTTAAACTATAATAAATACAAACAAAGCAAATTAAATACATATGCAACTTTTTTAATTCATAGACATCAAATAGTGGAATTGGTTTCTTCTACTATACACCAACTTTATATCAAATAATTTAGTTAACAGGCGACAACTATCTGTAAGTACCGTAAAAAATCCGGAAAATATCCCAATGAAAGCATATTCCTATCACTATATATTAAGTGAAATTTTCATTATAATATTTAAATATTTTGAATTATTTTTTTAGGTAGTTTATTAATTTGCATAGGATAGGATAGGTATTCGAATGATGATAAAGAAATAAACCTGATAATGTGTTTTTATTCACATTAACTTTGATTAGATCAATCAAGCTATAAAATTCTTTCACTTCTTAAAGGTGTAATTTGACCCAGCAAGAAAATGTTTAAAAAATTACAAGATTAAAAATCTTTAATATAAAATGAAGCTCTTTTTCTAAAGTCTGTTTTATTTACTAAAGACTAAAATAAATAAATATTGTGCGTGTGGTGGTTTCATCCTCTGGCGGTGGCAGCAACATTGGCGGCTTGTTGAGCGATTCCCAAACCCTGGATTGTGGCATCTCGAGTGTGCTGGCCAACACGTTCCTGTAAATATGGATCAGGCTAAGTTGTAACTAAAAATATTTAGGGATATAGAACTTACGAGTTTCTTGCCAATCTTTTTTAGCCAACCAGCCTCGGATTGTCCCAAGCTAATGGCCAGGATGAGGGCGACGAAAACGAAGATCTTGTTGAAGTTCATGGTGCGATTGTTTGACTTTAAGCTGATGCTTCTGATGTTGCTGTTGAAGTGAGAACTGAGCGACTGGTGATTGCACTAGGAATAGCAAGAGCTTTTATAGGCAACCTGTTAGCTTTTACAGCGTTTCCTGATAGGGCCTGAAGGGGGATTTTTATTGTGGAAGAAGTACACGAGAGGAATCCCAGCATTTCGGAATCACTCTGGGCAACTATAGTAAGTCTGAGTCGAAATCAGATTCGGGGATTGGCCCGAAAAGGAATTCACCTTGCTTTTGGGGTGTACCACAAAGTTTTGAAGATGGAGAAGAAGAAAACCATTTCTGGCTAAAGAAAAAAATTCTTCCTAAAATAATTTCCAATTAAGTGGTATGTTTTAGATCATAAGAATGTGTTTACTGATACAAAATAAATGCAATATAGTGATGTTCAGTAGTAAAACAAATCATATTTTAAGTATTTAGCAGACACTTTTGCCACTAGTCCACTAGTCGCGCGTGCAAATGGTTAAACTATAAACTTTTATTTGGAAAATAGCTGCGCGCCTAACGAAAAAAGCTATCAAATAAGCGATCGTAAATTTTGCCAATTGAAAAAGTCGAAAAACAAACTCAGTCGCGTGGCATTGCTTAGAGGTTACAATTGGTGTATATTTCGGCTACAGCGCAGCAGCACATAAGCTATAAGTGATGCTGATAAGGTTCTTATCAACCCTAATTGAATATTTAAAAAAAAGTGCGACTTATAGTTTTGATTTATTTATATTTTCTGTATATTTTCTTATTTACTTAGGACAATAGAATATATACATAATCTTAACTATAATATTTGTTAATAGTTCATCATCGCCGTCAACCTCGGGCAGTTGCTGCGACATTGGCGGCTTTTTGAGCGATTTCCAAACCCTGGAGTGTGGCATCTCGAGTGTGCTGGGCAACACGTTCCTGTGAAGAAGAATCAGGTTAAGACCAAACTAAAAATATTTGTGGTTTTATAACTCACGAGTTTCTTGCCAATCTTTTTTAGCAAGCCAGCATCCGATTGTCCTATGCTGATTGCCAGGATGAGGGCGACGAAAACGAAGATCTTGTAGAAGTTCATATTGCGATCGTTTGATTTTAAGCTGATGCTTCTGATGTTGATGTTTCAGCGGGAACTGAGTGACTGATAACTACACCCCGAAAAGCGTGCGGTTTTATAAGCTAATCAGCTTAATTCATGGTATGAAAATAAATAAATAGAAATATACTAAAAATAGTTTTTGCTGGCCGAAATAAGTATAAATTTAATGACATGTGCCATGCCTGATAAGGCGTACAGGAGAGGAATCCAATCTAATCAGAATCACTCTCTGCAAGTAAATTTCAAAATATTAAAAAGCTGAAAAAATGAGAAAGCCATTCTAGGTTTTACTAGTTTGTTATTATCAATGTATAAGCAAATGGATGTTTAGATAAATTTATATGACAAATAAGAAGAAATACGGATAAAAAGCTCAATAGACATACTATATACAAACTCACATAAATATACATAGTAGAAGGATGAAGATTAATTCAAACATTAACATCAAGTTTATTAGCGGTAACCGTAATTGTGAAGTGATTTTGGACGTATTCTTTTATGTAAGTATTTTAAACCCTTTAATGCTTTTAAAGCTGTTCAATTATAAAATGAGAAACTACTTTTCAAATTTTTTATTAGCTTAGTACAACAAAATAAATAAACATTTTAGATATGATAACTATAAATAGTGCGGCATAGTTGTTAACCTCGGGCTGTTGCTGCAACATTGGCAGCTTGTTGAGCGATTCCCAGACCCTGGATTGTGGCATCTCGAGTGTGCTGGCCAACACGTTCCTGTGAAGAAGGATTAGGTTTAGCACAAACTAAAAAGAGAAAAAAGGAAAAAAAAAAAAAAAAAAAATTATTGGGAGCTTCAAGACTTACCAGTTTCTTGCCAATCTTTTTCAGCCAGCCAGCCTCGGATTGTCCGAAGCTAATGGCCAGGATGAGGGCGACGAAAACGAAGATCTTGTAGAAGTTCATGGTGCGATTGTTTGACTTTAAGCTGATGCTTTTGATGTTGATGTTACAGCGGGAACTGAGTGTCTGATAGCTACACCCCGAAAGGCGTGCGGTTTTATAGGCAAATCAGCTTAAAAGGCCGTGCCTGATAAGGCGAGCAAGGGGATTTTTATTGCGGGAAAAAGTACAGAAGAGGAATCCAATCTGATCAGAATTAGTCTCTGCAACTAAATTACAAAATCGAAATCAGATTTGGGGGGTTTTTTAAATTTCTGTTCAAATTAGTTCCCTTCAAAAGGGATTTACTTAACATTTGGGGGAGTACCAAAATTGTAAAAAGCTGAAAAGGAGAAAGCCATTCTTGGTTTAACTAGTTTGTTATTATCAATGTGCAAGTAAATGGATGTTAAGAAACATTTATAAGACAAATAAGAAGAAATACGGATAAAAAACACAATAGACATAGTTTATACAAACTCATATATGTACATATACTTACATAGTATATATTAATAATAAGCCATAATAATTTCGTTTTTACGGAGTAGAAGGATGAAGATTAATTACAAACATTAAAATCGAGAATAGTAAGACAACAAACTTACAGAAACACCATTAAAAAATAAAAGATAAATTTATTGCATGCGAACAATTAATTTTTAAAGACCTTGTCGAAACTAATAGTTTTTAATGCCCCCCAAATAAATCTTAATAAATTTTGAAATCATAAATCGTAATTAAGCGTATACCGACCCGCGCGGCAAGTATATGTATTTATCTATTTAAAGGATATAAGAATATTCTCAACAACAATATTCTTGCCAAGTTGTTTGAACCAGTTAGCTTAAAGGATAAAGGCGATCAAAGTTAATTTGAATAAAAAGGAAACATTAGCTTTAACTGCTCTAGTAGGTATTTGGAATAGAGTTCTTTTATTGGCGAACAAACCTACTCTCCTTCAGATCAGTCATGTTCATGGATTTTCCCAACTAAAAAGGTGGACAAACACGAGCTGAAGAACATGTTTCCTTAAATTTTTACCTATTTCGGAATTCCAAATTCTTTTAAGCATATTTCGATTAATTAATGTAAATGTAAATAGTATATATCGACATTATTTGATAAAATATTTGTTTTAAGTTTATTATCGGCAGCCATAATTATGATTTTATTTTAGCCGTATTCTTTTATGTTAGTATTTCAATGCTTTTAAAGTTGTTAAAAGATAAGATGCGAAAATATTTTTCTCTATTTTTATTTCCTTAGAACAACAGAATAAATAAATATTTTAAATATGATAAATAGAAATAGTGTGGCATAGTCGTCAGCCTCGGGCAGTTGCCGCTACATTGGCGGCTTGTTGAGCGATTCCCAGACCCTGGATTGTGGCATCTCGAGTGTGCTGGCCAACACGTTCCTGTGAAGAAGGATTAGGTTTAGCACAAACTAAAATTATTGGGAGCTTCAAGACTTACCAGTTTCTTGCCAATCTTTTTTAGCCATCCAGCTTCCGATTGTCCAATGCTGATTGCCAGGATGAGGGCGACGAAAACGAAGATCTTGTAGAAGTTCATGGTGATATTGCTTGATTATTTCCGGCTGGAAAAGGTTGAACTGATATTGCTATTGCAGTGAGCTCTGAACGACTAATGGCTGTGATGGAAAAGACAAGTGCTTTTATAGGCTGGGGAACAGCTCAAACTCAATGACAGATAAGCCATGCACGGGGATTTTTCAGAAAAAAAGTACACCAGAGGAAACTTATCTGTATTAAATCAGTATAGACATCTTGTGCCAGAATCGGGGGTTTTAAATTTGTATAAGTAAAATTTGGATTCAAAATATGAAAGCCCCCAACTATAAGCCCCTAAAAACATTTTTCGATTTCCTCAAATTATTTTTTACAAAATTTCAATTACAACTTCAAAATATAAAAAGAGTGAAAGAAATGTAAAAAAAAACAATCCAAGCTTATTACACTTTAACTTAATCTTCAACTAAGGTTTTTGACCAAAGAATTTTTTAACTTAGTGTTATCATTCCGTAAGATAACAACTAATTTTATTTTATTACTTTAGAATAAAAACGATTTTAGAAAAATAAATATGACCATAATTTTTAGCGAATGTGAGAAACTTTTTCGTTTCGTATATTGTTGGATGGTACAAAGATGTAACTTAAAGATGTAAGTTAATTAGGTCTTTGGTCAAAGGTTTTCATTTGGATGTGCAGAAAACTAACCCTACCGATGTAATTTCTAGTGGTTAAAATTAATTCAACGGCTTTTAACAGACGTTTTAAAAGATTTCTTTCGTGGCTGTTTGACCGGTATACCATAGATCTAACTTCCAAAATGTTTGACCTTTTCCACAATTTTTTCAATTCATTTTCATCAGATTTAAATTAATTTGCCAATTTAAACTTTGCAGTTTTCGCGAAATGCAATCATTTTTGTAATCTTTGTTTCAGTTTATTTTTATTTCTTATAGAGCGGCTAAATTATAAAAAATAACTTTGAAAAGTTAAGTTATATTTAAATTAAACTTAATGTCTTCAGACATAAGACAAAACTTAAAAATATAAAGGTCATAACTAAAAGTATTGAGAGATAAAAAGAAAAGTACAAATAAGTAGTTATTTGAAATATATACAAGGGATTTTTTATTTACATAAAACAATACATTTGGAAAATAATAAATTAGGTATTATAAGGTATAGGCTTTTAATAAGGGGTATATAGGGTTTCTTCATCCTCTAGCAGTAGCTGCGACATTGGCGGCTTGTTGAGCAACTCCTAGACCTTGAATGGTGGCATCCCGAGTGTGCTGGCCAACGCGTTCCTGATAAAAGAGGATCAGAGTTAGCTTCCAAGTGAAAATAATAGAGAAAAAGTACTTACAATTTTTTTGCCAATTTTCTTCAACCAGCCAGCCTCCGACTGTCCCAAGCTGATGGCCAGAATGAGGGCGACGAAAACGAAGATCTTGTTGAAGTTCATGGCGAGATATTTGGTTTATAAAGGTTTGGTTTACGAAAGCGAATGTAGCTGATGCTGTTGTGGAAGAACTGAGCGACTGATGATTTTGCTTGGAAAGGCGCACGCTTTTATAGAGGAACAGACAGCTAAAAAGCGTTGCTGATAACGCGAAAGGGGGTTTTGTTTTTGGAAAAAGTACACCAGCTAGATGGAATCTGATTGTGTGAGGTATATATATCAATTACACGAAGGATGAAAGGCCACAAATTCACGAAATATGCCAATTGTAAATTAGTTCAATATAATTCAAAATTTAATTTCCCTTAAATGTTAGTCAAAGATTAGTTTTTAGTATACAGAAATCTTAAAGTTCATTTAAAGCAATAAAATATAAATATATTATTATTTTATTTTTTATTTAAATTTAAATGTTGAAGTTGTACATTTATTTATCGTACAAATATAAAAAAATTATGACATGTTTATTCACATTTGAGGGGAATCACAGCCGTATTTTAATACAGACTAAACATATTTCTAAAACTCAACAGCTAGAAAATGAAAATAAATTAAAACTGTTCACTAAGCACGTACTACTCACAAAATATTTGAACTGAATTGGTTACTAAATGAGCAACTGAGGATAAGTTTAAATAAGGCGACAATTTTTGTAGGCAAACAAGCGTCTGTAAAAAGTGGAGAAAATATTTGAAAAATGACTTTGACTCACGATGGTTTTAGGTTTTATAAATGTTAACCAACCTAATTTAGTTTTAGGTTTTGCTGAATTTTGTGTCTTAGGGAGCAGTTTTCCAAAAAAAACTCGTTCAAAAATAATACAATTTAAATTCAGATTTCAGATATGAACGAATACGAATTATTTATTTTCTTTTTACAATTGAAAACAGTTCTTAAGAAGATTTTGGAATGGCACTAACGACGGATTTAGCAACTTCCAGCCCCATGTCTAAAACTTTCACACCTGTGTCCAACTGTGAAAATAGTAATGTATTAACTTCTGAATGAAATATTAATATGAAAGGTAACAAACCACTGTTCTAGCTAAATCGAGCAACTGAGCCTCTGTCCATCCTGAGCTGATGGCCAGGATGACAGCCACGAAAAGGAAGATCGTTAAGAAGTTCATTGTTGGATATTTTAAAAGAGTGAGTCTAAAAAGCAGTCGTCCGTTTTTATAGACAAACGAAAACTTAAAAAAATATTAGAAATCAACAAAATTAATAAACAATTAATTCATGAGCATACTTCTAAGATAGAATTTCTAAGAAGCGTAAGTAAAAAAAATTATTTAAGAAGCACGTACGAATAATCAAAATAAATATGCAAATTTATTCAATCAGCGCGCCAAAGTAATTTTGTTTCTGCCACCACCTGTGGGGCAAAACTATCGCCGTCTTTGGGTTATATTTCACAACATCAGCGGAGGTACCCGCTATTCGGCAAGCCGAAGTTTTGTATACCCTTGCAGTTGTTACAAAACGACTACATTTCGATTTATATGCCTATATTACTAAAAACAATGAGGCTATGTCGATTTTGCGTTTCTATGGCAGCTATGTGATATTGTTATCCGATTTAAATTTAGTTAAAGCCGTAATTCCATAATATTTAAATATTACCAAATCCCAAAGAACAAACAAATTATAAACAACAAAGTTATAATTATTTTTAAATATATAATATATATAATTTACAGAATATTCTGCAAGGGTATTTCAACTTCGGCTCCGCCCGAAGTTAGCTTTCCTTTCTTGTTTTTTAATAATATATATAGATATATATATTTAATATTTATAAAAAAGTCAAACAAATATTTTACGCCTAATAAAAAAATGTTCAACAAACAGTAATAATACAATTTAAAATCAGATTTCAGATATGAACGCATGTGAATTATTTATTTTCTTTTTACAATGCATTTATTGAAAGCAGCTCTTATCCAGATTTCGCAAGGGCATGAACGGCGGTTTTAGCAACTCCCAGACCCAAGTCTAAAACTTTCATACCTGTGCCCAACTGTGGAAATAATAATGTATTAACTTCTGAATGAAATATTAATATTATTAATATGAAACGGTTAACAAACCGCTGTACTAACTACTTCGGTCAATTGAGCCTCTGTCCATCCTGAGCTGATTGCCAGGATGAGAGCGACGGAAAGGAAGATCGTCCAGAAGTTCATTGCTGGATTTTTGGAAAGATAGTGACTCTGAAAAGCAGTCGTCCGCTTTTATAGAGAAACGAAAACTTCAAAAAAAATATTAGACATCAAAAAAATTAGTAAACAATTAATTCATGAGCATACTTCTAATATAAAATTTTTACGAAGCGTAAGTAAAAAAAAAAGTATTTAAGAAGCACGTACGAATAATCAAAATAAATATTCAAATTTATTCAATCAGAGCGTCAAAGTAATTTTGTTCCTGCCACCACCTGTGGGGCAAAGCTATCGACAAAATACCGTTTGGGTCAAGAAATTACCATTGTTACACAGTTTTTGTTGTCCTTATATTTTCACTTTATTTGTCTTTTTATATCCTTGCAGAGGGTATTATAATTTTGGTCAAAAGTGTGCAACGCAGTGAAGGAGACATCTCCGACCCTATAAAGTATATATATTCTTGATCAGGATCACCTCCTGAGTTGATATAAGCATGTCCGTCTGTCCGTCTGTCTGTCCGTCTGTCTGTTTCTACGCGAAAGAATAACTTTTAAAGATATCGTATTGAAACTTTGCATACAAAGTTTTTCCTTATGAAATTTGCTAGGTCGGATTGATTGGCCAAATATAAAACCCATAGGAAATCCCAGCTTCCTAACTTTACAAACACCAAAATTAAGGCATTTCCGATCAATCAGTTATATGGCAGCTATAGGATATAGTCGGCCGATCCTGTCCGTTCCGACATATATACTGCGTGCAAAGGAAAGAAGGGTGTGTGCAAAGTTTCAATTCGATATCTTTAAAACTGAGAGACTAGTTTGCGTCGAAACAGACAGACGGACAGACGGACAGACGGACATGCTTATATTAACTCAGGAAGTGATCCTGATCAAGAATATATATACTTTATAGGGTCGGAGATGTCTCCTTCACTGCGTTGCACACTTTTGACCAAAATTATAATACCCTCTGCAAGGGTATAATAAGGGTATAAAAATTGTGTACATCTAACGTATATTTTCGGTATTTATGATTCTGTTTTTTTCTAGTTATTTATTTTTCAACAATATATATAGATATATATATTTGATATATATAAATAGTCAAACAAATATTTGACGCCAAATAAAAAAATTTTTCAACAAACGGTCTCACTGGCGTTAATAAATAATACAAATTAAAATCAAATTTCAGATATGAACGCATGTGAATTATTTATTTTCTTTTTACAATGCATTTATTGTCCAGATTTCGCAAAGGCACCAACGGCGGATTTAGCAACTCCCAGACCCAAGTCTAAAAATTTCATGCCTGTGCCCAACTGTGGAAATAATAATGTATTAATTTTCGAATGAAACATTAATATTATTAATATTAAAGGGATAACAAACCGCTGTAGTAGCTACTTCGGCGATTTGAGCCTCTGTCCATCCTGAGCTGATGGCCAGGATGAGAGCGACGGAAAGGAAGATCGTCAAGAAGTTCATTGCTGGATTTTTGGAAAGACAGTCCTTCTGAAAAGCAATTGTCCGTTTTTATAGAGAAACGACAACTTAAAAAAAATATTAGAAATCAACAAAATTAGTAAACAATTAATTCATGAGCATACCTCTAAGATAGAATTTTTACGAACCGGAAGTAAAAAAAAGTATTTAAGAAGCACGTACGAATAATCAAAATAAATATTCAAATTTATTCAATCAGTGCGCCATAGTAATTTTGTTTCTGCCACCACCTGTGGGGCAAAGCTATCGCCATCTGTGGGTTATATATCACAACATCAGCAGAGGTACCCGCCATCACAGCAGGGACGCGAACCAATGAGACATGCCAAATTGTTTATGTATCATTTTGTTTATAAATAATTTGTGAATTAACAATTATAAGCAAATTATATTTTTATTAAATTTATCAAGCATTTGGCCTGTACTACTTACAAAACAGATTGTCACTTATGGAAACCAGGTTTTACATTAAAACTTGTGTTTTTGTCTATTGATAAAGCTGATTAAAAATGTTGCAATAATGATTCGAGTTATTTATTTTTACTGAGCAAAGTTGGTGGATAAACAATCCGTGGAAGAATACGAACCATTGGTTCTTCAAAATACCGTTTGGGTCAAGAAATTACCATTGTTACATAGTTTTTATTTTCCTTATATTTTCACTTTATTTGTCTTTTTAGTTTTTGAAGAAAAAAAAATTATGTATATCTTAATTATATTTTCGGTATTTATTGATTCTGTTTTTTTTTAGTTATTTATTTTATAGATTACGTTGTAGGCCAAGCAAAAGAATTAAATGATTTATTAATATATAAACAAAAATTTGACTCACAGTTGAACAGTTAATTTGAACGAATACCCTTACGATTATTTTGACAGATATATTTTTCTGTTTTTCAACCAACGGTCTCACTGGCGCACCAGCACTCTGTTAACCGCTGTAAAAAATGCACTCAACATTCATGCTCATGTTAACAGGACCAACTTTTTCAATAAAACTTTTTATTCTGTTTTATAATTCGAATGTTAATTTTTCCATCAATTGGTCTTTGTATAAATGAAAATGGCTTATGCTGAATATTAAAGCTGCCAAACTAAACAATTTTTAAGCTATCAGAACTAGGGACAATAGGGTAGTGTTGTGGATTACCTAAAAACTTGTTGGATACGTGCCTGGATACAATTTTAAGTATTTTATACCTTACCCAGGTTTTGTTATTGAGCAAAAAGTAGAGCTACCATGTGTAGGTTTTTGGGTAGGAATATTTTGTTTTATTTTGTTTTTTTATCTTAGCCAAAAAAAACATTAATTCGTTCTATTTATTTCCTATACATGCAAATTAAAATAGCAGGATTTTACTAAAACATTAAAAAAAGCTTATTCCAACTTATACGTACGTTATTTTTATATTATATTTTAATTATTTACATAATTAAAAATAATAAGTACTAGTTTACAAAATATTGTAATAAAATTTTAGTTTTCTGTATTTATTACCGTGTACATTACCTGAGAAATACTCGTATCTGCACTATAAGGGTATTACCTAAACAATAAAATTGCAAACTTTTGAAAACAAACAAGAACATTGGAATACGTAATTCTAAGAGGTTCATTGTGAAAATTCATTATTTTGAGTAAAAAAAATATTTATAAAGTTTAAATCTATAAGTAAATTTATTCCTAGTCTGTTTTCATAGCAAATAATATGGATAAATAAAAGAAACAATTTAAAGTAGCAGTACTCAAAATATAAGTAAATATAAGTAAATAGAGCCCTTAAAAAAACACCTGAATCCCCCTTTTGATTATTCTTACAGAAATATTTTTCTGTTTTTACTGTTAATTTTTTACTCAACCTTTCGGTCACTCCTTAAACCGCTGTACGAAATGCTCTCAGACCATTCTGCTCATGTTAACTAACAGAAGGAAGTCACTCAATCACTGTTGGGGATGCCTGCATTGCCAGATTGACGATATACGTGGCGTGGCAACGCTTAACTGTATCGATAGTATCGCATAACCATCGATGTTGCCATCTCGACTTTTGTTCCATCACCACGGCCAGCGCCGACTTCCTTTCCTGTCAAAATAGTCGACCAAGGTGGTACTTTTCTCCCTTCGAGCCCAAAAATGGCCGAGATACGCGGCATCCACAACGCAGTGCAGCAAAATAATAAGACAACAAGCTAGCGCAACATCGGCAGGTGGACGTTTTGCACGGAAACCGTTGAAATGCTGGCCGTATACCGCCGATTGCCGGCGATTTGTGATTGTACTGCGTTGTGAGGACGCGGTTTTCGCTGTGTGATTTGTGCCTATTACTTACTGAATTACTTGACAAACGGCTACTGAACTTTGCAGATGGCTATCGGCTCCAAGATTATCAAGCCCGGCGGCTCGGATCCCGATGATTTCGAGAAGTCCATTGCCCAGGCGTTGGTGGAACTCGAGGCGAACAGCGACCTGAAGCCCTACCTGCGGGATCTGCACATCACCCGTGCCCGCGAGATTGAGTTCGGCAGCAAGAAGGTATAAACTATTTGAGAAGAGTTTCCATAAGTAGTTCTTTAACACCTTAAATGCTTTGCACCCCCCAGGCCGTCATCATCTACGTGCCCATTCCACAGCAGAAGGTGTTCCAGAAGATCCAGATCATCCTGGTCCGCGAGTTGGAGAAGAAGTTCTCCGGCAAGCACGTCGTCGTCATTGGGGAGCGCAAGATCCTGCCCAAGCCCACGCGCAAGGCCCGCAACCCCTTGAAGCAGAAGCGTCCCCGCTCGAGGACTCTGACCGCTGTGTACGACGCCATCCTGGAGGATCTGGTCTTCCCCGCCGAGATCGTTGGCAAGCGCATCCGCGTCAAGCTGGACGGCTCCCAGTTGGTCAAGGTGCACCTGGACAAGAACCAGCAGACCACCATCGAACACAAAGTGAGCTTACAATCCATCCGTCTATAAGTAGAGTGCATCGTGTGTGTACGTACGTCCCCTCGATATTTGGACTCCTATTCCATGGAGCCTAATCTTCGCTAGGGGACGCAGAGCAGTCAGAGCCAATTACTCGTTATTGCAGGCATTATAAGCCACTGCGGACCTGCATCTCCAAATATTGGCCACACTCTGGTCACAAACTCCGTTCTTGTGTTATTTGCTGGTTGTCATACCCAAAACCAGCGATTGTCAGACAGAACGAAAAGTAAAGGCAGCTAATCACTCCATAATGTTGAGCCGACTTTCCAGGGCTTCTGCATTACTAAATGTATGCCACATTCTGATATCTAAACATCAGTACCCGAACCTCAATTCGTAATATAAAAAAAACTTATTAAATCACAGTGTTTAGTAAAAAAGTAATTGTAGGATATTCTAGTTATTTATCAATTTTATTATCATTTTACGGGATCAACTGTACATAGATTTCTCTACCGTTTTTGTGTTATTTGCTGGAAGTTATATCCAAAGCCAGTGATTGTCAAACAGAACGTAGACTAAAAACGAGGCAGCTACTCACTCCATAATGTTTATCCTAATTTATCCAGGGATTCTGCATTACTAAATGCTTGCTACATGCAAACAAAATTATCGGGAACGGAAATTTCAAGGAATTAATTAATTTGTATTACCGTTTTTGTGTTATTCGCTGCTTGTTTTATTCAAAATCAGTGATTGTCAAACAGAACGTAAATAAGATTCCAGGCAGCTAATCACTCCATAATGTTTATCCTATTTTAATCAGGGATTCTGCATTACTAAATGCATGCTACATGCATATATCTGAACTTAATCAATCTCCATTTCCGTTCTTGTGTTATTTGCTGGATGTCTTTATAGTCCAGCGATCGTCAAACAGAACGCATATTAAAGCAACTAATCACTCCATAATGATGGGTCTATTTTAACCAGGGCCTCCTCATTACTAAATGTTTGCTACATTTCAAATACTAATAAGTCACTTGTTTAAAAACACCGTTCTTGTTTTATTTGCTAAGCGATTACTCAAGCTTAGCGATTATCAAACAGAACGAATAGAAAAGGCAGCTAATCACTCCATAATGTTGAGCCGACTTTCCAGGGCTTCAGCATTACTAAATGCGCGCTACATTTTTATAAATACCTATTTATATCTTTGAAATACCTTGATTTTAGTACCGTTTTTGTGTTATTCGCTAGACTTTTTCATAGTCCAGTGATTGTCAAACAGAACGCAAACTAAAACGCAACTAATCACTCCATAATGATGCGTCTAAATTAGCCAGGACTACATCATTACTAAATGTTTGCAACACCTTTGTAATCCTATGTTTTATAATTTTTTGAAACCACACACAATGCACTTTGAATACCGCCTATTTGCCTCCCAAGCACCGTTTAGTTATCCTGGTGCCTTGGGACTTCCTATATAAGCGGCAGAGTAATCCAACTTTCCGTACGATATCTTCTCTGCAGTTTTCCTGCTGCAGAGGAGGTCACGGCAGTTGTACACTTTTTTAAATACATACATTCTTTAAGATTCTGTGACTAATGTGTACTTTTTCTTTTCCTTCAGGTTGATACCTTCACCTCGGTCTACAAGAAGCTGACTGGTCGCGACGTTACCTTCGAATTCCCCGACAACTACCTGAATGTCTAGAGCGGGCTCTCGTTAGAATGTCGCACTGGTTCGCCGGTTCATCTGGGAAAGTCACCGCGCTTCTGTCGTGCAGAGGATGAGTTTTTTACATGAGCTAGAGAACGTGAATAAACATTAAACAATTTAAAACTAAGCACCTTCCAATTAAGCCAACTTCCTGTTGTCCTGTAATTAATCAGCGCTAAAAGGGGCATTACATGTGTTGGATTTGTATCCTGCTGGCATGTGTCGCACATTTTGATTAAGGGCAGCCATAAAAGGCGTCGTTCGCTGGATGTCTGAAACTCTTGTGTTCTTTTGATGTCACGTGGTGTTTGATGAACTTCTTAATTAAAAAGTGGGCGTATGTTCGTTATAATGGTTTTAAATTGCAACTCTTGCAAAAGCTTAATCATGTGGCTATACTTTTTCTTTGGCCACGTCTCATTTGCGTGCTTTGTAATTATAGGTATTCCAAAATTTGGTTACATTACACGCATTACGCTTTCAAATCATCACATATTTATTTGATTGGCGGGTGGTAACGAGAAAGAGTTTGAAAGAGTGGGGCCGTGTCTGATTAATTTTTATAGAGGGGAAAGCTTTTTTTAGATTCAAGAAACACCCTGTGAAAAGCTTTTTTACCCCTTCATTTAATATTGTTTAAGTCAATGGTATTCGCTTTTAGTTATAATAATTTTTTTTTATAAATATTTTACGGATTTAAACACGGCATTAATACTACTTTTGGGTGATGTAGGTACCACGACTCACGGCTTAGTGGACTGGTTGTAATGAAATTAAAACCTTTACTGGGTTGGATATAGTTCTAACATTTTTTATATTCTCCCCTTGTAAGGGCAGGAATTTGGAAATCTGAAGAGTACATTTTTTAAAAATGTTTATCCATTAAAATTAAAGACAGTAATCAAACAGTCTTTTAGTAATTGCTTTTTTATGTGTACATTATTTCTTTGGAACCATTGTATTTTCATTATCATGAAATCAGTAACGCTATTGTTTTGACCAGAGGGCAATCAAGTCCTTTTTCAGACCTTTATTAAACAACAAAGACTTTGGTTTATTTATGGAATTAGTGCATTCCTGCCCCATTTAAGCTGTCCGATTCGATTGATTGCAGTTTTGAAATTCAATTAGAACCAACCGCAAAATCACGCAATTCAACAATTCCGAAACGTTACACGAGCCAAAGGCAAACAAAGCGAACTACAATCGCTGACTTTGAGGATTGGGGGTTAAAGTCAAAGGACCGAAAGGACATGAACATGAAAACGAACACGAAGTGTCTTTATGTTCGGGAGTAGGAAAGTAGTTTTGGCTACAACATGAGTTCGAGTAGAACTTTCGATTTCCGACAAATTGTTGATATTGTGTTTGTATTTTTTTTGGTTGTTGTGTCTGGGGAATTCCCAGAGGATAGTGGTGTTACAAGGGGGCGTGACCCGTGGGCGAGACAGGTGGTTCGATGAAAAGTTGGTGGGATTTTAAGGGGAAGTGGCTCGCCGCTATCGGCGATTCTATCTAAATGACCCCGCCGGGGCATTTATTATTGATGGTGCCTAATTGTGCGCCATTCTAGACGAACGGTTATCATTAGGGCTGGTATCCTGTGGATGGAGTGGGAGTCTTTTGTCCTTGGACCTCTAATGCGTAATGCTGTCTTGAGCAACTCCATTCCACGCTTTGATTATAACGCTGTCCACATACTCACAAGTGGATTTAGGGCACTTGTGTGTAGATTCTATTTGACATGTTCTTGGCGGAAAATGTTTATGACAGTCGCAGTTCAGTTCCCACCATATTTTGTGGGGACTGGGCCGCAGGGATTGGGAACTTGGCTGTCCTTTTGACAAATTATTATGTCATCCCCATCCGCTGTCGATGGCGACAGCTTTCTGAGTCACGCCGCAATTCAAATAAAGCCGAGAATCACAATCTGCAATGAATGTGCGTTTATGTAGCGCTAATATTATCGGTTGGTGACGAATCCATTGCAAAGTTTGTTGGTTTATAATTTGACAAGATTAAGCAATTATCCAATTTGGGGCTATAATAAGTACGGGGTTATTTCGGTTTTAATCTATATATTTTTACATAAATTATATGTAACTTTAATACTTAATATCAAAGTGTTAAATTAAATAATATTTTAGCGAACAAAAATTTGCCACAATCATGATTAAGTACCTCGAATCCATATCAACTTTAAAAGCTAGTGCAAGCTTTATCGCATGCACAGAAAAAAATTAGTTACCAGAAATTCCTTATAATAGGTACTACTTTCTTATAAAATTGGAACTTGATAAACACGTTGATTATGAGATTTAAAAAAAAAACCTTATTATTTAATAAATATTTATTTAACGTAGAACGTTTGGTTTCCCAGTATAGAAGATAAGTCTTCTGTTAGTTTATCAGCTTATCGGTTAATCAGCCATAACTTCGACACTCCACAGTGCACCTTTAATATATGCTCAGGTAGGAATCGAAGCAATCAGCACGAGACTGTTCCGGACGGTTAAAGTTGTCGTTCCACGGTGAGTGCAATGGGCTAGACAATAGCTGATAAGCCCCTGATAAACCTTCTATATAGTTACTATACCAACTAGCAAAGCTTCCTGTGTGTGCTCGTTTGATGATCGCATAAGTATTGACCAGAATTTCTTGCTTCGCTGAGTTTTCTATATTTATCCAGAGCCAATGTTACATCATCTGGCATTAAAGATTTTTCAAAAATAGGCATTAAATTATGAATATTACTGGTGGGGCGATGGATTTCATTGCAAGGGAAAGAAAGTGGGAACTATTTGAATTTAAAAGTTAAATTTTTCGGCTTATCTGAGAACTTGTTCAAGTTGCTGCGGCGATAACGAGCAAAATAAGGTTACCGACTTTACTTTTTCGAATAGGCTTCCAAGAATGTTTGTTTGCTGCATAATAGACCCTAAAGTCCTCTCTCTACCTCACTCTTTCCTTATTAGTATCCAAAGAGAAAACATGAAAATATCCCCCACCAACGCAAAGTGTATAAAAAATAGAAAATGGGAAAGAAGACAGATAGAAGCGACACTACGATAATGATGCTATTAACAACAAACAAATAGAGAGAATAAAGGTTCCCCCTAAAGATTTGGCTCTCTCATTTTCCTCTCTCTGGAAAAGTGGGCTAGTAAGAAAAGTAAGCAACTGGGAACTTGGCCGATATTTACAGCTCTGGGATCTCACGCGATGACGAAATGCCGCAATCGCAGCCCACTACTCGTATACGTGTTGGAAGATACCTACTCGCATTGAGTATACTACCCGTTGCCGGCTTCGTTTGGGCGACTGTTGCTGCTCTGCCGACGTCTGCGCCAACGTCGACGCTGAAGTCAACGGCAATAGCTCTGCCTACGTTGACACCTACTCATTGTGGAATACCCTACATATATGGGTTAACTATGATTGGTACTTGAGGAAAGCACATACATAATAATTAATTGTAGAAAGCAAATGATGTGAAGAGGGAGAGTTTCGATTCCCTATTTTTCACAAAATGGTTGATCTGGTTGTATTTATCCAGGTTATGATCAAGTTAGAGTCACCAAAGCACAATTTAAATTCCATACAGGGTATCCCAATGTCGCCTATGCCCCATAGTTTTCCCTTTAAGTTGGTCATGTTACGAAGCGGCAGCATTGACTTTGAACCGAGAGTTGTTTGTGTAATGTTTACGGAATGTGTGAGCACAACAGAGAATGACAAACAGAGTGGGTGAATCAAAAGGGGAGAGGAGCGGACGAAGAGGGCAAGGCGGAATGGTAGATAATATAATAACTGTAGACGCAGCTGCAGAGCACGCAGTGAAGCGACAACAAATAAACTACAAATTGGATAGTCTCCACCGCAGTCGACATCGCAGTCGGCGTCGCTGCTGCCGATAGTTCTGGGTGCCACCAAAGCAGCGACGTCGACGTCGACAGCGACGCCGGCAGAGCCCGCTCTTTTGGTTGTAAAATGTAGACCCATTGCGGCGGGCGTCGTTAGTCACTTGAGTTCGTTCGCCTGGTCGACAACAGCGGAGAAAGCGAAGCGAGAAGAGAGTGAGAATCGCGAAGAATACCGGCGCATCCCAAAGTTTCGTAGCCTTCAAGTTTCCATCGTGGACTAGTGAATCCTAGTGACCCAAAGTCCCGAACCACATCAAAAGTAGGTTCGAAAATAGTGATCATTAAATATCTACCCGCGTTATGTCATACATATTTTTTTTTATTAAACTCTCTGGGAAACTGACTTTATAAAGCATAATCTACGACATGAAAACCCAATTAATACGTAGTGTTCACGCCCACTTCTGGTACCATTCGAGTATTATAGTATTACTCCCAATCCCAGTTCCATTTCACAGCCCCCTGTCCCAACACACTGCTCACATGCAAATTGTAACCCAATTGTTTGCTCATTTCTGTCATTACCAGTGTCGATTAATGGGGGGTGGGATGGTTAGAGTCAACAGAGCGAATAACATGCACACCCCGCCGCCCCAAACCTCCAAAGAACCTCCCCCAGGTGTTAGCTCTAGGACTGTATACACATTATTATCCCTCACGATTTGATTGCCGCGACACGCGTTGACCCACATCAATAAACCGACCAAAACAGACTGACTAACTAAGGTTACCCTCTTAAGGTAGGGGTCCCCCAAACCTAAACTCCCAATGGAGCCGTGAATTTCCAGTAATTTGCGGAAAGAAATAATGAGTTGCTCATAAACTATAATTCATTTTACGAAACTGTTTAATAAAGTGTCTACAAATGAACAAGAGTTAACCGAGTTTTCATCCTCAAGTTCTAACTCCTAATTGTGAAGAAAAAACACTGAAAACACTTGTTAAATAGTGAATATGATTTTTCAGTACAGCATACTTTTTTGGGAAATCTATGTTATTACTGTTTGAATTCGACTTAAAAAAATAATCTATTCGCCAGAGCAACAATTGTCAACCGCAAAAATGGTTATTGCTCTTGTTTATCATATCGATCAGATGTGGCCCATAATTCTCAGTAAATTATGCTTTTGTCAATAATCAAGTGCAAATTCTTTGGAAACCCTTATCGAAACCCTTTAGCAGGAACAAACAATAGACTGTGAATACTAGTCCGGCAACAAATTTGTTTAAGTGCAAAAAAAGTTAGTGCGAAATAAAGGCTCTTAAAGCTTCTTAGATTATTTTAAATGTAAATGTTTTAAGTTTTTGCGAAGTTGAGTTCAACAGTCTGTTTCAATTCACTTACTTACTACCAACAAGATCACTTAAAATAATGATCTTAATAATATAGTTTTTAATATATTTCACATTCATTAGCTTGCCTTGAAATTGTCGTTTATAATGGAAGAATTTCCTCATTAAACAGGGTTCTTTCCCCCAGTGTACGCATAGTTTGCTAGCGATCTGGTCTAAATTATCTTCAGATAGCAAGTGCCTTCAATTACCCCACGACCATTAAAAGCTCCAATTAAAGGTGGCTGCCGGGCAACAAGTGGCGATACTTGATCTCGCGCTGCTGCTCTATTAATTCGTAGTGCTGGGAAATCGTTGAGGTTTTCTCCCAACATACAAAAAGCTCCCTGCCCTTGGCAATATGGAAAGTTTCCAATAAATTTCGGCACTTTGGCATTAAAATCCCACTGGGAGTGACAATATAGGAAAATAGTATGTGATACGCCGACGTGCGACCCATCAGGCAATTAGCCATATCTGGGGAGGCATTGAGTCTAGAAATCGGGAGGTGTACGGGAATCGGGCCCGCAGAACCTCTCGATGGGCGGTCAGCTTTATCGCTGGCACTGCCAACGAGAAATGAAAACACTCCAGAGCGAACCGGGCGAATGCCAATAAAATAGTGGCTAAATGAAGGGGAGGGAGCTGACTTGGGGTAGTATGTTTATTATTATTTATTATTGGGCGGACTAGATTGTTTTATGCCCAGTCTGTGCAGTGCGTTTGCCAAGTTGCCGGGCCGTCGAAAATCGAAATTAAACAAACGAAAGGGAAGTGGCTCTTTTCTATGGAATTTAATTTATGCATGCTCTAGTCGCGTGCTCGGGGCCAATGAAAATGTTGATCAATTCTTGTGACAGCGTTCGTCAGTCTGTCAGTCTGTGAGTCCAAGCACCCCCCACCCGATAACCCATAACCCCCGATTTATGCCCTTCTTATTCAAATTAGCGTGCGTGGCTACATTTTCTAATTAACAGACGGGGCGTGTTTTAGTCCCCCACTGTGGCGAAACCCCTCCCCATCTGGCATACTATCAATATGTAAATTGATTAGACTCCACTCCAATCTTATCTCTGGCCAGACTTACGTAAGAGGAGCGATTCTTCGGCACCCCCATTACTCATGCCACCCAGAACACCTGGAGGGGTCAGACAGAAAGTGAATCACACTAGCAATAATCGCGTTTCGAGTATTCGCCATACTCAATTGGGTCTTATCAACGCTCTTAACCCGAAAATTTTGAATGAACCAAGTAACGGAGGGGGTTGGGGTTGAAGTCGTGGTCCGGCCGGGAATAAGTGGGCCAGGTGTGCACTGCTTATCTGCAAGGCAATAAGCCATCGCGCACGCACGAGAAACCGATCGACCATTCCCCTGCGCCGAAAACTGTAGGAAATGTTCTGCGGGGGCGTCTACTATACCCAGTATTCGCAGGGTCCAAAGGTATATGGCTTTCGGTTGGGAGTGTGAAATATAAAAATCAAAAGCTATCAATTTACAATTGCAATTCTCAGCTCTTCAAGCAAATAAATCAAGTTTCGCACACAAGTTAGCCATGTGGCAAAAATTTAAAAATTATTATTGTCGTAAACAGTTATATTATTTGTTATATAGTTTCATATTTTTTCAAAAACTAGAAACTTAAAATAATTATACTTTTGATTTCATAGGAACCAATATGGCTTTCGTTTATCAATTTACGAAAATCAGAAGTTCTGTTTTCTCAGCTGTCCAAGTTATTTTGAGGTTTTTGAAAATCTATTCACGCATATTCCACTCCCACAAAAATGTATTTGGTAAATAATTTATTAGTTTTCCCTTTTTGTATTTAACCATAAAATAAAAATCTTGCCAACTGGATGATTAAAAATATGACTATGAATTTGATTTGATATGTTTTTTTTTATAAATTTACTGTTAATCTATTTCATTCATTTTTTTTTGCTTATGAACTAGCTAATGTCCAACAACAGGTGCCAAAAAGGCCATAAAATGCTGGTAACCGGTATCTTTTAGTTAAAAACGTACACTAAACACACACACTTGATATTTTTTATTGGTAGTGAGGGTGGGGGTGTGATAAGAAAACTAGGAGACTATGAGTTGACAAAATCCCAGCAACAGAGAAGAATCATCAACTTTTTTCCTCGAATGTCACACTAAACATCATGAAATTGTTTCGAATTTAGCCTGTGGTTCGTGTGCAGATCCACCTGTTATACACCTGCCTATGACTCACTGCTGCTAATGGCCACTTTGTTCATGGCCATAATGATGTAGTGTGGCTCTATTTGTTTTCGTCCAGATAGTGGCCAACTTGCAGATCGGTGATTGCAACAGGGAACTTGGTAGGCGATAAGCCACGATAACGCCGACCCTGAATGCCGGCATATTCCGACCCACGTCCGCAAATAAACGGAATTCTGTTAATATCCAGAGCAAATCTACTTTTCGGGGGGGCCAAATGGGCAGGTGGGGCGTGGCACGTGGGGCTGGCAACAGATTTCACACCAATTACAGTCGAAACTCTTTGAAAGGCCTGCTAATAGTGCGCGGTTATAACCGTCCTAAACTTCAATTAGCAAGTCTCTGTGTATTTGCTTTGATAGCACAGCGAGAAAAGTTCTTTACTAGATGATGGGCTCTTGAAAGCCATAACTAGTTTAACAGTCAGCTACAAATATTTAGATAATGAAAGGTTTATAAGCCTTAGTTTGTTTGCTTGGGTATTACTCATATTTGTTTAGATTATTCTTCTTTGATTGTGTTTTCAAAATGAAGAATCATATTTCTAGTTTTTTGACTAGTATTTACCTTTTACTCTCAATCATGCATTTAGAGAAATGGTATCACTGCTAATGGGTTATTACTTTATGAGTATAAATACTTCTTTATATAATGTAACAAACTGTCCCTATACAATTTTTCAAACTAAAACCTTTCCATGTTTCTTGTGTCACAAATGGAAATGGTTCTTTATTATCCATTTAAACAAAGGACTTCAAACATTTCATGTGGAAAAGAGTATACCAAACATATCACAGGACAAACTTCCATGGTACACAATCGGTAGATTGGGCATGGTAATGCATCTCCATAATTAATTTATTTCGATGGGGTGTGATTATTTCTAAACGGAATTTAAGTATGCTAAAATTTAAACCATCTTTTGTTGCAGTATGTGCCTTTCATCCCCGATTCCCGGCCAAAAACAGGCGCCCGCCGTTGGCCATTGCAACGGATCATGCAGCCTGGACAGAAATGGAAACCGTAGTTCCACCAGTGTCCCGAATGGAGGAGAACTAAAGCACAGAACACATGCCACAGATGCTACACAAAACCTAATCAAAGATGAGGAAAACCTGGGCTACAAGGAGGAGAATGCGGTATACAAGGAGAACGCCCTGGAGCAGCAGAAGTTGCTGCAGGAGCAGGATCAGAAGCTAAAGGATGCGGAACAGGAGGAGGAAGAGGAGTACAAGCCTCAGATCAGATGGCCTGATCTGGGGGCCCAGGCCTTCCTGCACATCGGCGCCCTTTACGGATTATACCAGCTCTTCTACGCGAACTTCTACACATTCCTCTGGGGTGAGTGTCCACTGTCGTCCGTGGGTAATTATCATCTGCACAGCTAGTGAGTTGCCGCCCCTGAACACCAATCTCCATAATTGCATCTGCCAACATGCAAACAGTGTCCAGATAGTCGGGTATTGGCTATTTTGTAACAAACTTAAGTTGCTGTTAACTAGGGCAGTATAATTTAGCTGTTTGTATTACAAATCCCCTGGAAGTGAGGTAATCGTTTTATTCTTGATTAAGATATATTGGTTGATAATATCGCTGATAAACACTCTAATGAAAAGATGGAATACTTTTTATCAGAACCACATTAATTGGTTAAATTAGATTTTAATTTAATAATTTATTCGCTCAAAATATCACTTCACAAGGAGCTCCGCGACTGCCATAAACATTCATCAAAAATTGAAAACAGAAGCTCCGATGAACTAATTAAAGTAAATTCAAAATAGAAACCCACCACATTGTTTATAGAGAATATAGAGAAGAATTGACTTACTTGAGGAGTTTTATTATGAAATTTAGTCACTAAAATTTATGAGTCCTATATCAAAGTTCGCCATACCTAACAATGTTGTTCATCAATGTTTTCGTTCAAGATGACGCAGGGAAAATCAAAATAAGTTAAGATTATGCAATAGGTAAACAACCATCAGGTTATTTGCATATGTTGCCCCGTGAACTTTGACCCTTGGCAATTAAAGTTAACGAACGCTTCAATTGCTCGATATAATTCGGCTGGTGATCGAACTGAGGGAAAGAGCGGGACCGATTTCCGAGTGGCGACAAAATAGGCCACCCCGAAGAACGGGGAATAGATAGATATATTTAGAGTCGGGCGTTGTGTCATCCGTTGAGCAAATCAAGCGAGAAGCGTCACCGCAGCACACCAAACTATTCAGATGGGGCGGGTATCTACATATGTATATAGTATATGTTTGTTTGTTTAGACAATGACATCCGTCTGTTCTTTTTTCCAGTGGTGGTCACCGTTTGGGTTTCCGGAATTGGCATTACGGCGGGAGCCCACCGCCTTTGGTCACACAAATCATATACTGCTTCGTTACCACTAAGGATTCTGCTGGCCTTTGCTTTCTCCATCGCGGGTCAGGTTAGTACCTCATTTAATTATGCACTTTGAAGATAAATCTAACTGATTTTTTACATTTTAGAGGGATGCCTACACATGGGCTTTGGATCATAGGATACACCACAAGTTTTCCGAGACCGATGCCGATCCGCATAATGCCAAGCGTGGCTTCTTTTTCGCCCACGTGGGCTGGCTGTTCCTGACCCCACATCCCAAGGTCGTGGCCAAGAGGAAGGTCATTGACATGTCTGATCTGGAGGCTGATGCCGTGTGCATGTTCCAGAGGAAGTACTACATCCCACTTTTCGCACTCTGCTCCATCATTCTGCCGGTCGCTGTGCCCTGGTACTTCTGGAATGAGGACCTCTGGATGTCCTTCTGGATCAACTTCAACATGCGATTCACCTGGACCCTCAACGTGGCCTTCTTCGTGAACAGCGTGGCACACATGTACGGCAACAAGCCGTACGACAGGTATGATAGATTACTGTACTTCAGGGTGGTTCGATTTGAGGGTGTGATAGAAGGACGGAAAAAACCAATGCAAGAAAAAACTAATCTTTTTAAGCACAATAAAATATTGGCAGTGAAAGTTGAAGTGAATAATCGTACATGATATGATTATAATTTTTACTATCACCCAACCTATTTACATAGCTGTTTGTACCTTCTCTTTCAAGTACTTACACATATATCAACAAATTGATTATTGGTGTTCATTATTGTTTATAATCAAATGAGTTTAGCTAAAAACTTAGTTATGAACAATAGCTTAAAGAATTATCTTCATTTAACTTTCCCTCAATATTTTATATTTGTTTACGCTATACAAATCAACAAAATGCTTGTTTGTATGCATTTTTGAACAATTATTTATTATCAAATGAATTTAGTTCCGCACTGTAAGCGCTGAAAATGTAGTTATGAACAATAATTTAGCTTAAATTGGCTAATAATTCAATTTGGTTTCTCTTGTATAACTTATTTTTTTGCAAAGCCACACAAATGCACAGTTTTGTGTTTTTCTTGCCAAAATAGAAAATTGCAATAATAAAGTGTGCAAACTGTAATATATTTCTACTTTTAAAAGCTTAGTTGTATTAGGTGTAAATCTAAATAAATTGTTTTAATTTCTCTTACAAATGGTTGAAACTGTCTGTATATAACCTCCTCAAATTAGTCAATACCTATGTTTTACCCACCAATTAACTCCAATTTATACCTTTTTTTAATGCAGGAACCTTATGTCCACTGAGGCTCCCATTGTCTCCCTGCTGGCCATGGGAGAGGGATGGCACAACTACCACCACGTCTTCCCCTGGGATTACAAGACGGGCGAGTTCGGCAACTACAGCCTCAACATTACAACCGGCTTCATCGACTTTTGTGCCTGGCTGGGCCTGGCCAAAGGACGTAAGTTGTGGCTATATTTACCAATAGAATCTCTACTTAATTGTGGAATCCCCTTGAATTAGGTAAATCGGTATCCCCTGACATGGTCTTGAGGAGAGCCAGGAAATGCGGCGATGGAACTCGCTTCCTGGACGATGAGTTTGCCCACAAGGATCAGGTGTGGGGCTTCGGGGACAAGGACATTCCCTCGCGAGGATATCGTGGAACTGGCCAAGATGCAAAACTAAGCTTCGGCCGCCTATTATGTTTTCAGCCTGTGGTTTTTATAGTATTAAGTTTGTAGCACCAAGCCATGCCTTATGTTCGGTTTATAAAATCTAAGTTTTCATCTGAAATTTTGTTTAATCATATGAACAACTCAGATCTGTAAATTGGGCATTTGACCCATCCCATCCCCATCCCATCCCGGATCACTAGGATCGTCGTAAAGGGACGCAAACCTCCCTTCGTTGCTTTCGTTACTTACCTGCGGGTCAATAAACTATGTTTTGTATTATAACGTTGCTCGACCCTGAATACTCTTGGGAAGTTAATGACTTATGCATATGCGATTGGTCTATGAATTATACATTCACTCGCCTCATCGGCTTTTGTAATTAAGGAGGGTTTTTAGTATAGTCTGGACTGCCGCAAAAGTCGGAACCATTGGGATTCAGGATTGGAAATAGGAATACAGGAATTTGCCATGGAGAAAACAAAAGTAAAGGAGCTGGATCAAGTGGGGGATTCTATCCATAAGAAGCGCGATGCGATCTGGCCAGTGGTTCTATTCTATATCCATGTAAATATCCTCGGTGTTTATGGGATCTACATTCTGCTTACTAGCGCTTCGTGGGCCACGATTTTATTCAGTGAGTTCGGCGGGTTAAACAGCTCCAAGTGTTGCTTAAGAAATGTGTGGAATTTTTACCCCAAATATATTTCCCTATATCCCCACATTAGCATCTCTCCTCACACTTCTTGGAATATTGGGTGTGACTGTGGGTGTCCATCGTCTTTGGGCCCACAAGACTTTTACCGCCTCCAAACCTCTGAAGGTTTTTCTCATGTTTTGCCAGACGACAGCAGGCCAGGTGAGGTGATCCCCTCTAAAAGTTTTTAGCCACTACGCCACAAATAAAAGCTTTACCTTTGAGTTTCATTTACCTGAGACACACACCTTTCAGATTAAGCTTATGATTGAATTTACTTTTCCGGTTCAGGGCTCCATTTACAGTGTAGTTCAGGCCCATCGACTGCACCACGCGAAATTCCAGCAGGATGAGGATCCTTACTACAGTAAACACAGCTTCATGTACGCCCAGGTCCGAGGGGGTCTACTAAAATACTCGCCCCAGCAGGAGGAACTGCTTAAGGATGTGGATATGTCGGATTTGGAAAGCGATCCCATTGTCATGTTTCAGAAGCGGTGGGTTGTTATAGAATGTAATTAATTGTGCATTGCCTCTTAGTTTTTGTATCTTCTTCACCGTTTTTATGACATCGTGTAATTCTAAGTTGTTATTTTCTTAAATCTTTTTATTACCCTTTATAGTTATGGTATGGCTTATCCTTAAACTACAACTAAATATGATATATGTTCCAGGTTTTATGTCTTGCTGTACATCTTCCTGAACGTGCTGCTTTCGATCAACACCCCATTCCAATACTTTGGGGAATCGTTGGCCACCTCCATGTTCGTGGGTTTCTGGTTGCGCAGTCTCATTGTGATTAATCTGGGAAACCTGGTCAACTCATCACACTTTATTTGGAGCATCCACAAGGGCTTTAAGCCGACGGATTCAAACAGTATCTTTCTGATCACGAAGAGCTACTGGCCGCAGTATCACTATCTACTTCCCAGGGATTACCAGAGTGGCGAGTTCGGGGACTATGCCTCGGGAATTGGATCTGCGATGATCCGAGTGTTTGCCGCTCTCGATTGGGCTAAGGATCTGAAGACCATTGGATCCGTGGCCGTGCGTGAAGGGCTCACCAAGGCGGTGGAAACGGGCCGACCGATCGTCAAGTGCATCGAGGAACAGGTGGAGTTGGAGGAAAACGCCCTGCCCTCCAACCATTTCCTCAACCGGGAGAAGTTTATGTGAGCACATTGCATCATCGGGCCACTAAAAAGATGTGACAAATGGCCGCGGCAGTCGTTAAAATAAATTAACCGCCATTCAGAGGAGGCGGGGTAGAGTAAACTGAGAGCCTAATTATTGGTCAGCATAAAAAACATGGTAAACAGAGGTGCAGTTCGAACTCCATGGCGTTTTCGTGGGCTGGAATGGAACTGGAAATGGAAGTGGGATGCTAGCAAGTGGGCGTGGCTGGATGCACTTGGCGGTCTTTGTTACCCAAGAGTAAACAAACTAGCTTACAAATCACAGTTCGGCCTAATTATGCATTCCCATTCACACAAAGAGAAAATAATATATATTTATAAATAATAAAATATAGGGTAACATGAAATCGGTTTTATATAAGTATGATAATGATATTTGAATATCAAGTGATCTGATAATAATATTTTCATAATAATATCATAACAATTGATCAAATATAAATTATGATAACATAATTTCGGGTATTAACACGCCTCGCACACCTACAATGTGTAGAATGGATCTTTGATATCATTTTTTCCTGTGCACTGCCTAGTTCCAATTTCAAATCCAAGTTCGAGTTCGCCGCCTCTTCCTATTTCTCTTTCGGTTGTTTACAGATGCCAATTCATTTGGCAATCGGTTCGTTTGCTTTCCCATGCTCGAATCGGCTGGGTATCGGGATATGGGTATATACATACATCTATGTTCGGCATCAGGTGCTTTGTGCCTGCGTTATGGGTTGTGCCTAATGATTTTATTAGCCAAACGCAATGTGTGTTCAGTGGCTGTGTGGCTGATTGATTCGTCAATATTGACACCGCACTCAGTGCCTGCCCAGAAGCCTTTTCCAATCCATCCTCCGGCTCCTCCGATGTTTGCTCATCAAACTTGGTTTAGGCAAACTGTGCGCCTGACTTGGATCACATCGATCGATGCTAAACAGCCTGGCCATTCTAATATACCCCCACCCCTGCCCCCGTGCGTGTAATCCACCTGGGTGTGAACATTCCACACTTAACGCAACTCCACTGACTCACATTTGAGTCGGCCACTTGTACCAATTCCTAATGACTCTGCACTGAAGTGATTACTAATGAATTTGCCTGCTAAAAGCTGGCACACTTAAAACATTTTATGACCTACAAGTGCGTGAAATGACATACGTGTGGTGTAAGGAAAACGACTTGAAGTAAAGATCGCTTTGCCAGTAGATAGGCAATGTAAATAGATTTTCTAAAAAATTTGTGTAAATCATAAAATGCTGATTTTAAAATTTTATTCTCTCATTAGAATGATTCGGTAATGACATATAAAATTTTTGGAATGGGATTGAATTATAAAGTATATATTCTTCTTAAGGTAATAATAAACAGTAAAAAGAAGAGCATGTGTGTTTTAGGAAATAACAACTTGGGAATTGTAGCTTAAGCATTTAAAAGTTTACCTTTATAAAAGCCTAAGTTTTTTTTGAATTGAAGAACATGACAGTTGTATAAAATTTAATTTTTCCATGTAAGTAATAGTACTCCCTAGATCTTTCTGAGTGTATCCCTATTCACTTTTAGCTGTTTGCGCTGTGGCAGATTTGAGATCTGAGATCCGCTCCGCTCTGTGGCAAATTGCAGTCGCGTCGCGTTCTGCGCTTTGTTTAGTGTTAATTTGTTTTCCATAAACCGACTGAGCGACAGTTGAAGGTTGCACAAATACGTGAAGTACGCAAAATCGCTGTTGACTGGTCGGCTTATGCAACTCTATGGCTACCATAGGCCCCAAAAAATATCTCACTTCGATACGGGCAGGTGTGTTTGGATGCTGGGGGGTCAACGCTGTTGAATGGAGCTCCGAAAAACCTCACCATTCACGGCCTAATCGCTGGCAAATTGAAATATCTCGCGCATGAATGACTGTCTTTTGAGCGTGCGGCCAAGAACAGTGGAACGGGAAGCGATTAGGCAAAAAATAAGCACACACATGTGTAACTCATATTTATGGGTACCTGAACAATAGTGAGCTGGCTTTGTTAGGGGGAACTTTTTGGCCAGAACCCTCATATAAAACGCTGACAGTGCGAAATGAGAAGCTGCGCAATATATCAAAGTGGTTTCCAATGATTTCGAGTTGGCTGTTTGTTTATAAACAAAGCATTCCCCAAGCAGCGGACAATTTCCAAGCTCTTTTCTGTTTTTCTGTGGCTTTGCATAATTGGCTAATGGCCGGGGTCTTGCAACATCAGCACCTCATCAACAGCATCTTGCAGATATGCGCCACACAACACCATTTACAGTGGGCCGAGATCAAAGGGTTCGGTCGCGTGACACTGTGAACGTTTGCAGATTCGGAAATTGAGTTCGGAGAGTTTTGGAGAAGCTGTAAACCAACTTTACGATGGGACAGAGGGCTTCCTTGGCTCTGGGGTTTCGGTTTTATTTCGCCGCGGGTTCGTCGCTTTTGCTTTTGGATTTTAATTAAGTTCGGTTTCTGTTTCTGTCGCCGCGGTTACGTAAAGAGAAAGCAACTCTCGTCAGTGGGTCTTCGGGAACTGAACTTCATGATCATCGAACGGCTTTTGACTTTGGTCAACACCACGCACACATCCACACCTTTAAGCTGCTGTGTGGTGGAAGCCCAGTTAAAAGATGATGACTGGAATCGATTTTTATAAATACTTTAAGCTTGCAAAAGGAGAGATTGTCCGCATGCAAATGATCAACAGAATCGCAGAATCCAGTGGCTTCGTTTAAATTAGAAATCGCCAAGGGAAAGGTCTTATTTGAATATCCCCCTTGAATCGAGAACCTAACGGGCATATGGGTTATGGGCCCTTGACGACAAGAGATCAAGTGTGCGAATCCGTCAATAAAGGAAGTTTAACTCTTTCAATTAGCATGCTGAAGTGCTAGCCACGTTTTGAATTCGATTTCAATTATCAAATGCAATTAGAATCGTCTGAGTTACTTTGTGGATCGTCAGTAACATTCGAACATTCGTGAGTAATCGTGAGAAGTGCCGGCAGACTTCTTGTCGGTCTCTGAGTTATTTTTCTTTTTTTTGACTGCCAGGGGGGCATAAGTCGGGTGCGAAAGAGTTGTCTGGTCAGTCAGATAAGAATCGACATAAAGGGGCAGACCCCGTGGTACTGTGTATTAAACACATTGGATTACTATCAATCTACCTCGTGGGGTGTTTATTTATCTTAAATTCATAAAGCTTTCTAAATTAATTGTATATTAAACTAATTTATACAGATTTTGGAATCATGAACTTTTCCCTTTCAAAAAGATGGTTGTTTACTAATTTATTTGCGAGCTCTATACCATTTAAGGCTATCATTAAGGCAACATTGAGAAATAATTTCGTTAATGAAAAGCTAACATTATTTTGATTATAACCAATTAGATAAGTGATCTACTTTTAGTTTTGATTACAGATCAGTCTGTGATGGATTGAACAGAAATCAATCTTATGTGTATTTTCGCCGAAGCAGGTGGTTAAGGGATTGCAAATAGTTAGCTGACCTTCTCGCAATAGAAAACTATTGATATCTAGACGCCAACTCATAAGTGAATGTAATCTTTCCCAACTCCCCAGCCTTTCTTCAGTGTCTTGAGTTTCCCGCAGAGACAAAGTTCGACCTACTGATGCATGACACCCAAAGACCCACACATTTGGCGTAAATTCGAGGTAGCGTAAATTCAGAGCTGCTGACTGCGCTGCTGATTCTGCGACGAAGTGCCGATCCGAAGTGGAACACGAAGCTATAGTCGGGGCTGTGCCGAAGCTATATCCGAAGCTATAGCCGAAGCGGTTACAGGTGGTTGGTCGTGTGTGTGTGGTGGCATAATCTTGGCCTTCTTGGCCATTTCGTCTCTCCATTTCTTTTCTTTACCTTTTGTGCGGTGCGTCGGCTCGGAAACTCCGTCAGTCAGTCGGTCAATCAGTCAACTTTGGCTCAGTCGCGGTCGCAGTCGCCGTCGCCGTCGCTGCTCAGGTGTATAGCTCTGCCCAGGTAAGCCGCATAGGTAGGAATTTACACTTTTGGCTACGATCATTTGTCTACGGAACGGCGTCGCGTTGAGTTCGTTAGACGCGGAAAGGAAAGGAAAACCCCTTAAGGCCAAACGACTTACAAACAATAACGAACCGCGTCCGCAGAAGTGACTGTGTGTCTTTGGAAGAAAGCCAAACTCCAAACGCCACCACCGACTCTGGGCCAAGTACTCCGGCAATTAGGCCCTTTGAGTGTTTGTGTTAAGCTGTGAAGAAAGTTCGGCGAGTGTGCGTGCGGCAGTTACGAAACGCGGTTTCCGCCGGCGAACCCAAAAAAACCCCGGGGGCCCAGAGAGAAATACATATCTGTGAAAGCGAAAAATGGGTCACCTTTCCACCTCGGAGCGAGTGTGCAGCAAGACGCCGGCCATTTCGGGGGATTCGAGTCCCCCACTTGTGGCCAGGAGGTCCAAGTTGGCCAACGGGGATGCCCAGCAACAGGTGCGGCGAGGCGAGGATTCCTCGCCGGAATCAGCGCCCCGCCCGAAGCTGCAACTGCCCCTAAAGAGGGAGGAACCTGCGCGGTCGGAGATCCCCAAGGAGATCGCCAAGCACGTGCCCAAGGATGCCATCGATCTCGAGGAGTACACCCGCACCTTCGTCGGCGATCGCGTGTTGGGATGGCAGTTCCAGGCACCGCTCAAGTGGGACAAAGTCATCCAGATCTCACTGCTCCACATCGTGGCCGGAATCTGCCTGCTGACCTATCCGCTGCGAAACCTCAATTGGTATACCACCATCTGGTGTAAGTATATATCTCGGTCGAATATGCACCGTCTAACTCATCCACATCCATCCCATCCGGCATTGCGTAATGCCCACTCTCTCTTTCTATCGGTTCGAATTTGTAAATGGTGGAATGGGGATAGGTGTGGAAACAAAGAGTCATCTCTGATCGATGCTGTAAAGAAAAGAAATATTGCACAGAGAAAAAATAATACTCATATTCAAAACTGATTGATAGCTTCACAAATTATTCATTAGATGAATTTTAAATGGATAAATCGCACTAGGCTTTAGGAAATTAGACATCTTCCCATCTTCATTAC